GTGGTGATTATTAACATCGATGTCATGCTCGGACGTGGATTCACAAAGGAACATCAGCAAATAATGTTGGAAACTGAGTGATTTTGAATGTAATATTCCTCTGAGCAGCCAGTGGCAGGTGGGTGAGTTTATCCAAAAGTTACCTTAGGGCTTCGGTATTCGATAACCAGGCACAGGGCAAGCACTTCCATGCGAGATATAGTGCATCACTTTCTGGAGACTGGGTTGGCAAACTAAAGCAGCTGAGGGGGGGGTAAGGTATGAAAAACTGTTTATTAGGGGCTGAACAATAGACATAGATCTTCAAGATATTTATATGACACGACGTCTTCCTCTGTCGATTCAGGGTTTGTAATACATAAGTTGTAGGGCTCAGTTTCTCTTGCACGACATATGGTCCAGAGAATTGGGCATTAAGGGTGGAAGCAGACTAAGGCAGAAGAACAAGTACCCAATCGGCAGACTGAAAATCCCATTCTTTTGTCTTCTTATCAAAGTGTTTCTTCATCGTGGCTTGGGAGGCACTTAACAAGCGTTTAGCGAGTTCCTAAGCTGTGCTCAGTTGCTCTCGCAGTGAGCCCAAATAGTTTAATTTCTGAGGAGGCCTGGATGGAGACAACCATTGCTCTTGCCATTTTTTAAAAGATCCTCATACAGTGTGTCCGAAAGCCAACTCTGCCGGACTGAAATCTATCAACTCTTGCACCACGTCTCTAATCGCAAAGAGTAGGAGGGGAACACTTTCATCACACTTTTTCCCAGCTTTGAAGCAGGGCTCCTTGACTGTCCAGGTGATAAGCGCTTGACACAGCATGACCTAGGCTAACAGTTTTGAAGTGAAGTTCATACCCTGGTCTGAGTGCACGTACTTGGGTAGTCCGAAAGTACTTTTTAAAGGGCTTTTATTCTAACTTTTGTCCTCAAGCTACGGATAGGAATAGCGAGGTAGCAAGTAGCAGCACACATGAGCGTAGTTGAAGTTGATTAGGAGGCACCATTGTTAAAGCACAGTTTTCGGCTTCACTGCACTGGGGCATTGGGATCCACACAGACCACAGGATGGAGTTAACCTGTCAGCTGTACCAACATCTCTTCCAGCAGCAACCCAGCTTTCCTTGTAGTCTCCAGTCACAAGGACTGGCCAGGCCTAAACCTGCTAGCTTCAAGTGGATTACCTAGTCTGAACTACCACTGGTATGGCTACTAGCCCTAACTAGCTAACTTTTTCCTCAGTAGGAATTAGTTAATTTTTTTTGTTAAATAAGTGAATTTGTTTCTTGTTTTTGCATAGGTGCAATTGCATCACCTTTATCTGTAAATATTATTTGAAAGCAAGATTTAATATTGATATATTTCTTAATAAAGTATTTAATATTTAATGGGTGTCCTAATTTTTTCACGTGACTGTAGTGGTTATACTAATACTCATTAGTTATATTACAACCAAAAAAACAAACTGTGATTATGACATTCTGTCCCTTTTTTTAAAGCGTTTGTAGCCATTGTCTTGAACAACATTTAATACTGTAATTTTTCCATTATATGGACCTATTGCTTGTTTTTCTTTGGCAGTGAATGCAAATCATGGATGGATGGATGGATGGATATTCACAGGAAACCTCTTTTGCTTTGCAGGGTTTCCTGACAGCCGTTCGCCAGGAGACCACACGCATGAACGCAGCCAAGGGCTGGGCCTTGGACACCGTCATCCTGCACAACGACGTTACCAAGGTGATGAGGGAGGACATCACAGGCCCCCCGCCAGCAGACGTGGGCGGGGTCTACATCCACAGTCTCTTCCTGGATGGAGCTGGGTGGGACAGGAGGAACGCAAAGCTCGCAGAGTCACCCCCCAAGGTTAGTTTGAGCTGCCTTTGGGAAAGCATGAAGATCGCCATTGGTTCCTTTAATAGCAGGGGTCTGTTTTTAAATCCTGAAAGAGTCAGAGGGGTCACACTGCTAGCCTTATGACTAGGGTTGCCACTAACGACTACTCTTCTTTTGATTGATTTATCAACTATTTTACCAATTAGTCGATTAATCTGAATGATTTATTTTCCTCCAGAAAATTACATTGACCATTTAATGTTAATTAATTTTATTTTAACAACTACAAACTGTATATCATTGCTGGGCTTTGGAAAACTGACCCTGTCTTTTCAACACTATACTGACATTAGTTTCACCCACAATTCAATAAGCAGAATAGTAGTACAGTATGTGTAAAACATTAATGAGATGCATTTTGTGATGCCCAAAAATTAGTAATTTGTATAAATTCAGGATATCCTTATGCTTATTAAATTTGGTTAGCGGAACATGCCACATGTGACTGTTTTGGAAGCAACAAGCTCTGAAGTTGCAGTGAAGGAAGGGACAGTTCACCAGCCACAACATCTTTAAAAAGAGGAGATATTTTGGTAAAATGACATAAAAATGTTCGTGGTGTGGCGGTGCTTTTTGCTGATTAAAATCCGACACTTTTTTGTGGTAAATATAGTTTTCATTTTTATTTCAGTTCACAATTTTTTTTAATGTGCTGTCCTTTTTCCTTTCAGTTTTAGTTTACAATAACAACACCAGTTCCAACAAGCCAAATACGCACAAACAGCAGCACCGTCTATCAACGTAGAAAATATGCCCAGATTTTAGCCTAAACGTTTTCTCAAACACTTATTCAATGGAATTTCTAAGGTAGCAGGCAGACAACTTTTTGGCTTTAATAATGAGTGTATTTAGTAGCTACAAGGACAAAAGATATTAAAAAGCTTTCCATACTAATGGAAATTTAACAAACATGAATAGACAACACTTACGGTGATTCTGCCTTTCCTGGCAGCCCATCAACCAGAATATCGCCTGTGTGTTTTCTCTCGTGTATAGCGCTCGTGCCACCTTGGTGTGCCATTGAACTTTTCACAGTGTACAAACCACATTTTTGGTTTGTGATAATTTGAACTACTCCCATAATTACATAGTGATATGGAAGAAAAACATTTCTTAAAATGAATGGAAGCATTTTAGGAATCATAAAGGTAATTTCATTAAAATAATAATAAAAAAAAACGTGTTTATTTAAAATATTGATTTTGACACATTTTCAGCGTCATCGTCATCGACTACGTTGACTAATCGCAGTAGCCCTACTTATGACATAATCATTTTAAATGCAGAGTACAGCCCATAAATTGCTGAAAAATAATTTATGCAAAAATAATTATCTCAGCTAATTTTCTCTTAGAAACTTAGAACCCTTGTGTAATTCCTAATTAATGCCATTTTAGTGATTATACTGCTCTTGTGCCTAGACTGAGATCAGAATGAATATGAACATTTTTTATTCAGCGTCTGCTTGCCAGATGAATAGACTGATCCCAGCTGTGGCAGTTCAGAGTCAAAGTCCAATGTTATCATTGAAGTGTGAAGAGTACTGTAGTAATGGGAGAAAATGGACTTTGATTCGTTAGTTTAACCCACTTCCCTTTGGTTACTTTGTGGGCTCTCGTTGGGTTGAACAGCTAGCAGTTTTCCTACACGTCTCATTTTTTGCTAGTCTTTTCTTGCTAGTTGGCTCAGTTGTTATCGTACTGCATGTGGAAGTGCATGTGGGAGCGGTGTGTAGCTGAGCATGTTAGGGTGCGGTGCCTGTGATCAGAAGGTTGCCGGTTCAAATCACAGGGTTGGCAGAGTGACCTCTAAGGTTGAGCAAGGCTCTTAATCCCCAGTTGCTTCAGGGATTCTGACCCTGCTTTCTTAAAAATGTATGTTGCCGTTGGTTAAAAAGTTCTGCTAAGTAAATGTCTGGTTGCTTCCCCACAGGTTCTCTTCACCCCCCTCCCAGTGGTCCATGTCTATGCTATCAGTACCGCTTCATCTCAAGATCCAAAACAGCAGCAGGTGGCGACTCTCTACTCCTGCCCTGTCTACAAGAAACCTCGACGTACTGACCTCACTTACATCTTCTCCCTGTTCTTACGCACATCGAAGGCGCCGGACCACTGGACGCTCCGCGGTGTGGCGCTTCTGTGCGACTCTAAATAAGAGGCGGTCTCCTGCAACGCCACCTCTGGACCCTCGGGGGAGACATCAGGGTTCAGCCAGGTCACATCTGTAAGGATAGGACCTGTTGTGTCTTTAAGAGAGGTCTCGTGAAATTAGTCAATCCAGCAATCAAACCTTCATCAACAATATAGTAACATGTATGTGGAATGAGAGCATCTGACACTTTAGCATTCATTTTCTCCTGCAATTAGGAAATGCATGGATTAACGTGTTCTGTCTCCAGATGGGTAACTGGACATGGGTGAATGGCTAGATTACTAAACTTTATTGTTATGTGTTTTTTAATGATACTGTCATTTAAATCAGTGATTGATCCAGTTTTGTAAGTGCACTTAAAATAGCGTAATTTGATTCTTCTCGAACATTTTGACGAAGTACTGTGTGAAGAAGGAAAAACATACCATGTAATTTGCTCTCTTTGGAACTTCAAGAAACAAAATATATTGATTCTGAATGCCTGAAAATCATGTTTCTTATTTCTAAATATTTCTCATTTCCAAATATTTCAATGATCCTGATGTTTTTGGGGTATATTTCAGTATAAAAAGGGAAAACTGAACATTACTTAGACTAATAATCTTCTGTACTGTGAAGCAGTGGTTTTGTATTTTGTATGTGTATTTATATTATATACATCTACATATATTTACATTTATATACATATATGTGTGTATATACATATATAAATACGGTATACATACATATATGTACATTTATTCTCTCATCTTCCACATAATACAGCAGTGATATATTTATGAAAAATATTTTTATTGTTATACCAGAAGATATTATTCATGCATTAACTCTAATTTGTACAAACAAATCGAAAAAATGTCATGCATTGTGTATAGAAACAAGAATTTAAAAAAAATAACATATCATCTATCACTAATCTACGGTGTTGACACAAGAATATTCTATTAGAGTATCAGATATCAGAATATAATGTATTCTTTTATTTAATTTAGATTTCCAAACATGAAAGTGAAAAATACAAATGAGTATGCACAGATTTCTGTGTTCTTCTGGAATGAAGGATGATAAATACCAATGTCAATCTGAAGTCTACTATGGTTATACTGTAATTACTGCCATTTTAAATGTAGAATATCAAGTATGTTACACCAAGCTAAGGAACAGAAAATTGTTTGATAAATTTAACATCCCAGAGTAGGAATATTTCATTTTCCATGCCTGATTTTTAAAATCAGTGATAAAGTATTCCGTTCAGTATCACATCAACAATAAACTACTCAGATCAGACAACGGATTTAGCTATTAATCACATGAAACAAATTCTCGTTTTTGTTTTTTAATGAACTTTTATAAACTTAAGCTGTACAGTATTATGGAGTTTATGATGGCATTTAGTTTGCAACACATTTTTAATAAATCTAAATTATATAAATATATCATGCAGCTTTAGCAAGATGTATAAACATTTACATATTGTGCAAATTACCACCATCAATTTGCAATAATGAACACTATGATAGGCTTTGCACTATTAAATATTTAACTGAAATCTGAATATGACTGCAAATTAAATAATAGAACATATCGCATTACTAAATCACTGGATAAACGTGTAAACTCACGCCTTGTGCACGATTTTTCGTGTAACCTGCTTCTTAATAACTTTGTGGAGATCTACATATTCACTGCTTCAACTGTTCACCTACTTTACTCTGCATTCATTCAAATAATTTAAAGATACTCTTCAGAGACCAGCTGACTGAGTTCTTTTATCAACCTCTGCCTTGGCTTCATATACTTATTTTGTTTTTTTTTTAATTTTTTTTTACAATATGAGGCTTACTTTAGATTAACATGTCATTCAGATGTTTTACTTTACCATTTTCATGCATCCCTTTCTTCTTCAAAATGAGTTTTTCCACCATAGCCAGACAAAACCACATTGCAGTACCAGAATAAACATACATGTATCAGTTTCTTTACTTTCATTATTCACACAATTAATTGGCAGTTCAAGTTACACCAAAAATTCAAGATAAAATCTGAAGTCCGTCAGTGTTTGAGCAGCTATAATATTTGAATGAAATTCCTTACACTTATCTTAACATGATTTGTTACATATCGTAGAGGAGAGAAAACATCAGTTATTTCATCCCTCTTTGTAATGAGATTAGAAGCAAATATTTGATAACAAATCCCCTTTGAACATTTAATTTCATAATAATTGTATAGTATTGTTAATTACTTGGTTCTTCTATACTCTCCTCCAATAAATCACCCAGAGAAGACCTCTAAACAAATCCTTTGATCCTGTATTCGGTGTGCATTACAAAAAAAGACAGAAAAAGTATGAAAACCTGTGTAAATCTGAACTTCAAACAATTGTTTATCTTCCTTCACCACCGGCTGTGCCTGCAGCTTAAGAAAGTTGCTTCATGTCGTACACAGGAACCTCAACCTCATCCGCCCTGCCTGTCTCCGACGAGGCTACACCAGACTCCATCCTCGCTCCCTCTCTCCTCCTTGCCCCAAACTCTGAGATGGAGACTCCTTTGGCCTCCGTCACCACCTCCGTGTAGGTGACATCCGGGTTGGCCTTGCGACCCTTTGGGGGAGGAATGGGGGCCGTGGCCTCAGTGGCGCCCTCGGCCCCCTCCTGGCCTTCAGCGACAGTCCTTTCCTTCTTCAGGTTCAGTTTGGCCGGCACGGTCTTGGTGATGGTCTCCTTGAAGCGCTCTCCCGATTGCCGTATCCTCTCCCGCCGCTCCGGAGGTACGATGCGCTCCCCAAGCCGGCTGACCTTGGTGCCCAGGTTTTCCTTGGTTTTGGAGAGGTTCTCCCGGGAAAACGTGGCCTTCAGACTCTCGATGCGCTTCAGGCCTGTCTTCTTGATGCGGGCGGCAGCGGAGGAGTCTGCTTCTTCCACCACCATATACTCCTCGTCGGAGTCTGGTGGGACCTCGAAGGTGTCCGGCTCCACGGCGCCCCCTGATGATCCCGCCTCTTTCGGCGCCTTGGAAGCGTCCACTGCGGGCACCTCCTTGTCTCCCTATAGCAAAGAGCAGAACCACAAAGAACAGGCTGTACACGGGTTTCTCACTTTTCCTTTCTTTTACCCACTTGCTGTTCTTTCAAGCTAACTATCAATCCATTCCCCGTGCCTAAGGTCCAGAGCAGACAGAGAAAAGAATTAAAGAGAATAAAGCTGAAATACACAATGGATAAGGGACCTCCTGGACTGCTGCTTCAGAATATTGTGAAAGTTTTGCTCTCTAAAAATGACATTTTACTGTATTCTGATAAATGATAGATGACATCATGATAGATGGATCACTGCTTACCTTGTGTTATTTGTCCTTGACCACAATAAATAGTAATTTCACATAATTGTTCATGATTTTATTGCACGTTTTACACTCAGGAATAACATAATGACATAATTATGATTTAAGGCGGCAGCTACTGTTATCCAGGCCTGTTCAGCACTGCTTCAGTGGATTGTGGTTTAAGCACTACTGCGTGCAACTATTTGTGGGTCATTATGGTGCAGCACTGAAAATGCATCTAGAAATCTGTTAGTGAAGCATGAAACATTCATGTGGGACAATGATGATGATGATATTATTATTATTATTATTATTATTATATCTACATTAGCTATTAGAGTTGCACTACTACAAATCAGAAATCCTTGGTAATTATGTTCACTGCCTATTGTTTTTTTAATAAAACATTAAAACATTTTTTCTAACATTTTTTAATTTATTATGATACCCTGTCAAAGCCCAGTCTTTAGGAAAACTGCAACTGCAAAGATAATTAATTTGCGCAAGTTTTAACTTGCCCCAGTCTTAAAACCTTGCTAATATGCAACTACAACCAGCGCTAGATATTGCAGCCTTTGATGCAGGTAAGCAGTAGTCTCAGATATCTTGCACCATACTGTATGTAAACAGTAAGTGTATCAGAGATTTACAAATTATTTTGAAAAAATATTGGATAAACACACAGGAGACAGGATAGTTAGTTAAAACTAAATTTATTATATCAATAAAAAGCTCTTCGAAAAAATGAAACTGGGAAGATATTTTTTGAACCTTCCACCTTCACTATCTGAATTATAATGTTTATGATATAATATGATTTGTTTTAAAAGGGTAATCAGGCACCATTGAGTGACCAGCATGGATTTCACAAACAAACAATGTCACGTTTGTCGTAAGTCTGTGTAGCTCTTGCTTATCGTGCTTCAGTCTCAGGGCTAGTTGGCAGCTTCTTATCATAGATCATATCAATCTTCCCAGGCCTCCTTTAAATAAATCTAATGAGAACTGAATGCTTCGTTACTGTTACATATATGTGAGACATTATATTTACATGACACATACTTCATTCAGAAATATTCACAAATAATGTACCATACTGTAAAATGGACATTTTTATGACTTTGATGATATAAGAGTATATAAATTATGTGTGTGTGTGTGTGTGTGTGTGTGTGTGTTTCTACGCCTTGTGTTCACTCTCCTTTTGGCAGCACTGGAATTGTTCCCAGATTGCTCTCTTCAGCACTCTCAGCTCGCACCTTTCAAGAGATTTTCACAAAGAAAAGACCGTCTCAGTGACATGAAGCTCAGCACTGGAATTCTTCTTAAATACGCAATAAACCAGAACCAGAAGTATGTCCGCTGGTCGCTGAATGTTAAATGAGAACAAATCGACAGCTACTACTGTGTGTGCAGTGGCAGTCATTAAGAACCCATGGAGTCTAGTCAAAGGCAATTAGGTGGCTGTTTAAATTTGATATATTTACCATCTGGAGTCTACGGTAACAAAGCATTTAAAAAAAAAAACTCATGTATGGTAATTTTGACAACTATTGTCATTCTGTATCTTTAGCAGTTATTATAGACAGTTATACACAGGGCCAATTCTAATTATAACCAGAATAGACAGTTACTTAGGGGCCCTGAATTACCTGCATTGCAGACAAAGTGAAATGATCATCGGTTTTCTTGGTAAGGGGGCCTGAGCTAGGGGCCCTAAAAAGGTAGATCCAACCCCGATTATACATCGTCTTCTGCCTCTTCCATTTTAATTCTGCACCTGTTGCACCACATTTATGTCACCACTATGTTTTGTACTTTTTCGACATTGTATCTTAATTTGGAGTCCATTCGCCTTCCGATGGCTCACGTGATACATTATCATTGTAAGGCAGGAGCGTAGTGCAGCAAGCATACTGGTTAAAATCAGGGCACGCCCGACAAATGCAGGAGAAAATATGCCCAACACAGGGAGAACATGCAAACCCCAAGCCCAAAGGCCATGGGCTTGCACAGGATTCGAACCCGCCACTACCAGTAAAACGTTTTTGCACACCTCAGGTTTTTACCACTTTTCCATTTTTTTAGCTGCAGATTTTTTATTCTTGTTAAGCACAGGAAAGTTGAGTGAGCAACTATAAATGAAAACTTAACTAAATAATACAAGTTTCCTTTATAATATGGAAAGAGTATGTAACAGTGCACGTCTGACATCCTATTAACTGGTTTTGTGGTGATATCATTGTCAAATTCTGAGCTGTCCTTTAACTTTAAATGTCCTTTAACTTTAGCTGTTTCATCCCATGAAACAGAGCAGTATTTAATGTCCCTTGTAGAAAGAATGCCTTGGATTTTCTCTGCTGTTATTACTGCTGGAGGAAGTTACTATGATGAATCAAAGATATAACATCTTCTTCCTAATAAAGGTATTCAAACCGTGAACATACTGTAAATATATTTGTTAGCAAGCAATACTTATTAAACTTTACTTTTAGTAAATGTTGAGTGAGTAACATGCAAATGTAGAAAATCACAGTTTGTGCAAAAACGTTTGACCGGTTAGTGAATATGATGACAGTGGTACCTCCCTTAACCACATATCTGAAAAATTTGCATGGTGTTTAATGCTCAATGCAGCGGAACTTTCCAGGTTTTAATGGGGGTAGAATTAAATGAAATTTTCCAATGTAAAAGTTGCTTTCACAGTGCATAGATTTTTTTTGGTCCATTACACATTTCCATTGCTACATTGTAGGCTTTCCTCCAGACTTGGAAACAAAATTGTCCAACCATTTTATATATGAGGTCAGATTACTTTCAATGGACCAAAATGTGTCAAATCGGCAGTGAACAGGCCAATGAAAAGCGGACTTTTGGATTTGGGTTAGTTATTTTCACTGCATCACTGCTAAATTATAATGATTGCATGAACCTCGCCATAAACTTTTCTGTCACTTTTATAAAATTCTATTTTTAGGATTGATTCATTAGTTAGATTTCATTTTAATTTAATATAATGTTTCCGTAAACCTTGACCGTTTTTTTAAATATGATTTTCCTGCAGAGCCAAAAGCCGAGGGTGTAAAAGAACCAGGTAATTAGCAACACTGTACACTAATTATAAAATGATTCACCAAAGCAGTAGGACATGTCAGATTGGTTCCAAATGGTTTGAGATTGCAGTAATGACCATTTACTCAGTAAGTACACATTTTAATGAGCATGGATTACTGTCATCATAAAATTACTTCTTAATGAGCATTATATGCATTTTACATAATACATTTCGTTGGATTTCTTTTAGCTAATTTTTGCTCTTTCCTTTCATTGTAATCCAACATGCTGACTGCCACTGATAAGCAGTCGAATCATACATTAATGGATCATTTATTCTCTGTACATACAAGAAGCCCTACATTATAAATGCAATCAACTCATCAATGACCAGCATTAGAGATTATTATACCACGTCGTTTCTTTACTTGTATGGCATCTAATAAATGTTTGTTTTTGTGATGGATCAGATCAAACGATTATATATGCTTTATATATATAGTTATATATGCTTTAAAAACAATGATAATCAGCTATATTAATCAGGTTATAATAATCAGGCATATAGACTTTCTGGCATTGGTGCAGGACAGCAGGACATAATATTAAGTGAGTCATACCAACAACAAAACCTCATAATAAAATTCTCTGCACAAATTAGAGCTTAAGCAAAGTGCAAATCATGGTGTAAAGTTTGTTTTGTTAAACCGTGCCGACGTTCAGGGGTTTGCCTCACAGTGCTAGGCTATGAATGTCAGGATTGTCTCACTGCAGTTGATAGTATGTGTAAATGCACTATGTATCGTGTTTACTTCATTTGACTGTGTGGGTTTTCTCTCAGTTGCTAAGTGTTGTGGTGTGTGTCTCAGTGGGTCCATGCACTGTCGTTGCATAAACTCACTTATCGTTGTAAGCAAGAGGGTGCTGGTTCAACTCTTGGCGTGAGCAGTGAGTGATTTCAACACTGAGTCGTTCCCCAAGACCTTTAACCCCTAATTACTTCAGAGACTGCTTGACTCTGCTTTCACATAATATATATATATATAGGTTTGTTTAAAAGCCTCTGATAAGTAAAGTGTGTTAAGCATGGTCTAATCAGAAGTCAAAATTGATGCTTCTACAATTTTATTTTTTAAATCCTTTGTCTCTTTGATTGTAAAAAAGAAACTGTATAAACAAACTGAAAACACATGAGAAGTTATAGATGTTACAGATGTATAGTGAACATATAATGTATATTCATTAATATGCACACCTAAATACAACTAAACACATAATTAATTTCTAGGAATATCTTAGACAATATATAGACCATTTTAAAATAGTACCCTGGAAATTCCAGACATCGTCTGGGAAAATCCCTAAACTGAAAGTTACATTTCCATTTGCACATTTAGCATAATTATCAATATTTACATATATTTTACTCTCATTCATAGTTAATTGTGTTGCGGGTTATATCGTTAATCGCTTTGTTAAAAACTACAGTAGTTCCCTCTCTTAGTGCTGACTGCCCATCCAGAGCGCTGTGCTTTTTCAGTGTGAAACCCGAGCTTCTGTCGTCCCGCGAGCTGCCAGGTGAAAAGCAGCGCCGTGCTGATTGGCAGGCCCCTACTGTGGAATAGCTGCTGGCTGCGAGCTGCGTATTGCTTTTCATAGGTGCGATGCATAACATTTTAATGGGCGGCAGTTCATCTCATATCCTTACTTCCATCAGCTCCAGTCATATGCTAAGAATAATCAGGCCGTGATGAGGGATGGCAGCTGTTGGCTTTAAAGGCTGAAACTGCCGCCAATCAGCTCTTTACTTTCTGGAGCAGAGAGCTATCACACTCTAGGCAAATCCTACTTTCATTAAACTCCACGCCACCTCCTACCACAAAACAAGCTCATGCGTAAATCATCCCTTAATGGAATTGACAGGTTTGTAAATTTTATGTCCTGTTTTTCTTAAAAGACATTAGCTATTTCAACATTAAACATCAAGTGCCACGTACTACCATATTCTCAAAACAGTACCATGTTCTCAAAAACATTTTGTTTTTTCATTCCAATGGACTTTCAAGACTTTGTATTCCTGTAGTCGTGCTTGATCATTTATTAGAAGCTCACCTGATAAATTTCCTGAATACCATAATTTACAAGTACAACAATATGAATATAAACCAACATACTTAAGCTTATGCAGCTTAATAAACAAACAAATAAATAAATAAGGCAACACATTGCAATGATTCATGCCTATTTGTTTTTTAAAACTAAACCCCGTGCGCAGAGGGCGAATGCTGACATTTTCTGGAGAGTTATTTTAAGACATGGAAGGCTAATCAATCAATTTGTCAGATCCAGGGTATTCTCATGTTACATGCTAAGTAACAGGTGACTGAAGCCTAGTGGGAAATCTCAAAGGCAAACTATTTCCAATGTGCACAATACATGTAGCACATTTCCCCCCTTGATTTATGCATTCATGAATTAAATCAGATTTACTAAGCTGACTTACCTGGTAGATAACAACCCGGAACTTGTTCTTCATCAGCAGCTCCCCCTGCGTTTCTTCTACCTTTTTTACTCTCAGGTTCTGCTTCTCGACCCTGACCCGGACATCCTTGATGTGGGTGCTGACTTTTCGGGTCTTTTCAAGCAACTTCTCCACTGTGCTGCTGGTAGTGGCATGATCTTTGGTCAGCTTGAGCACATCAGTCTGGATGATCTTGACGGTGTTCTCCAGCTCCAGTTGACGGTCTTCCATGCGCTGTTGGCAGGCCTGCACATTGTCAATGATACCTGCAACTCTCTCCAGCAGGGATAGGATGGTGAGGGAACTGTTGGGGTTACCCGTTTCCTCCTCAGCAGCTGACACTTGGAGTCTGTCTGCCATTTTGGCCATGCGGTACTGCTGAGGATCCATGTGAAGAGCAACGCAAGACGCTTTGATAAGCCGTCTTCTTCCTGGGCCGTGTGAAGGTCTGATCAAGGATGTGAGTCACTTGCCTTGTCTTCTTCAAACTTCTATCTAGAATTTTGAGCCTGATCTGGGGGAGACTCTAGCTTGCAAGCAAAACAAGCCACCTCCAAAGAGAGTCTCGTTGTCACTCAGCGCTGAATCTGTTTCGGGAAAAGCAGAGACTCCACCTACCCCAAGTATGGTCGCTTGGTCTTCTTGCGTCCAAGATGGGAGTAGTACTGCTCAGTGAACAGGGAGCTGAGGAAGGCAGCATCATTGAAGCGATACACACTTCATAGCTATAAATACTTTTGTAAGGTGACACTTCAAACTTTTTTGGTAGAAGCATTGCTCACATAATGGAAATCCCCAATCCATTCCCTTTGAGTTGCATGCAAGCTTTACTGTATATATTCCTTTTCCACTCAATGTAGCTATATAAAACTAACAAATACATTTTAAAAACTAGCTTATGTGTTTATAGTTTATGGTATACAGTAGGGTACATAGGTTAGGTTTTTTCTTGTTTTTTTGTTTTTCTAAGTTATATAACCATTACTAAATAGTAAGTTTACAAACAAAAAATGGATTTAGTTTGTTGAGAACAAATTACAAATGTTGAATAATACAATGACAGTATTTGTGATTAGCAGACCAATACAGTATACCACAATTTTCTAAGCTAGTCAGAATGTGCTGATTTTAAGGGTAAATTGCATATTTTGTAGATTTTTGATGCAAGCGTATCTCAGTACCAGTGCATAATGTTTCTTGAATTATATTGTTGATATGATGATTGTCTATTAAAAGTCAGAAGCAGCTGGTCTTACGAGCCCGACCTGTGAGGTCACTGCAGTGTTGACACACCTGTCTGGTCATAACCTCCCCGCTGTGTGTGATTCACTAAATTTAATGTTGCCATTTGTCATTTTGGAAATGGACAGTGCACAATTCATTTCTAAAATATGTCTGGTTAAATATGTCACAGGATGAAATTAGTCATTTAAAGTAGCTGAAGTTTCTATATCCTAGATACAGTAATATGATGTAAATTAAACATATGAAAAAACTCAATGCTATTTATCACAAAGGTCATTGCAAGACAATAAGTAATATATTCAGCTGTTATACACACAGCCGGTTCTACCGACTGTTCTCCTGTATTAATGACCTTTCAATGAATTTTAGGTAAATTTCAACTTGTTGTGCTTGGCATTTATTTAAAGCACTACAAAAGCTTATTCATTAATTATTTGAAGGTTATCCTCATCATTATCATCATCATCATCAAGTGTAATCATGATAACATTTGCTGTATCAAGAAAATCCTAATATGTTCATATCTGTAAATGATAAACATTTTGCGAATATTTAGGTAGTGACTGATCAGCATGATTAGCGTGTTATTGTAACGAAAAGATGTTGCGCAGGGTGAGAAATATAAACATGCACCTCTTTCATGGTTAATCAGGCAGTAATTCAGTCCTATTCAGTCTTATTTAGCTTCAATACTCAAGGTTTTACATTCTCATTTTTAATCTGGAGAACTACCCCATAATCCACTGGGAAAAATCAGAAAAACAAATGCATCATATGTACGAAACAAAAATGTAGCATTTAGTAAAAGTTTGATTTCCAAATAATTTATAAATTGTTGGTATGCACAGTGCAGGTCCATTTTATCTTGTAAAATTACAATTTCCATAAACTGAAGCTGCCCTTCTACCAGTGTTTTGGCGTAAGGAACTCGTGATTCCACTCAGTAAAGTAAGTAAAAGTGAGGAAAGGTGTCCAGAGAACAAGTGGCTCCGGGATTGAAGATTGTTGCTGTGATTTTCGTTCAGCTCTCGGCGCTACTGCTTTTCATAATATTAGAGATACTACGAGCTGGCCTCTGACGCCCAAAAAACACCAGCAAGATGATTCTGCTTGACGGAGTGGCAGTCACCCCCCCCAAAGGGAGCTGCCAGATTCTGAAAATAGAAGCCAGCAGCTGCTGAAACTCCCAGCTCTGTATCTATAATTCCATAGCCACAGGCAACCATTTCTCATTCACATTAGCCTCTGATTTTTCCTTTTACTCAGACATCTGCCCAAACTGCCTTCAGAAGTCAAGATTTTGCATTGGGTTCATGAGTTTCTCATACTGTAAGTATCTTAGATCCTAATCTGAATACCCCACAGAAATATTTATCCAATATAATCATCATTAAATGTGAGAATGTACAGGAACTTGTTATATTAATGTGTTCTTATCTCTGCCTGCAACTCACTTGTGACATTTTGCTGTGTGATCAATAAAAACTCCTACAGTGTGCAAAAAGTATTAACGATTTTGCTGCTCAGACTTCAATTTGGAGTGCCTGAGCTCCAGAAGATTTGTTTGTTACAAAGAGACGCAGGCTACACAAAGAACCAAACACTTTCAATGTAATACAGTATGACCAGTAGATCCCTTTCATTCTATTCTTTGATATCGCGGACAAAGAGATATTGCATTCATCATTCTTCAATGTTCTCGAAAAAACAGAGTTCTATTTATGACTTGTATGACTGCAGTAGTTATGGATTTTTTTAGGTGACCATATTGCTAAGAAATTACCATGAATGCTCAGTAAACTGACAAATATTTTTTTGCAACCGCAGCATACAAGAACAAAAACACTTATTATGAAATATTTCTAAGTGAATTCCCACAGATATATTCCTGTGTTCTCTGTTTGTATAGTATAGTGCTATCTGTATTGTATAGTATAGTTAATGTCCTGTGCTTCTATAGTATAATACAGTATAGTGTAGTTCAGTATGTTACGTCATTATAGAGGCAGCTACTTAATTGCATTGTACTTGTGTGACCCACTTGCACAATGACAAAAAAATGAAAAGCCCACTGCTTAATCAAACAATTAAGCTAATAAATCAATAAGCCAACTGACTGAAGAAATCATTTTGTGATTTAAAATTAAACCGCCACCAAAAATAACCATGTTGATCCTATGCTAATTTAGCAGCCGTTACTGTAAAATAAATTAAAATAATAAACACGACTGACTAGTCCTTACATTTCATTTACTGGAAGTAGACTAATGTATTACAAGATTGGTGAAATCTGAGAAATATTAGCTGTGAGTCTGATCAGAAATTTATCTGAAATTCTTTCATTGTGCTTTCAACACAGAACAGCTTTGTACAGTGTCAAATATGACCTTGACTATCAAATAGTCTTGCCTAAGGCATGAACCCAGAAACACTTAAACACAAAATTGTTCCAGAAATTGGTAAATGACAGAATGATATCTTAGATTATATTTAAATCCAGGTATCTAATTCATGCCACATTAAAACAGAACTTACAACAAATGCAGTGGTTTTCGGCAGAATTTAATCAATTGTTATACCTACTAGCTTTTTCAAATAACATCCACTTTAAAAAGTTCTCATATTTACCAGGGATTATGGAAAATCTATTTAAATATCTAAGAAGTACTGAGATGGAAGGTACAGAATTCTCTCAAAAAGAGCATTTAATTCTCTTAAAACAACTCCACAGAACAGTTTACAAGCCATGCGATATGTGTTGAGAATTACATGATGTACCATCAAAATTTTACAAAACATTTACTTTTCCCCAAGTATATTTTTCCAAATACAAATATTTCCAAATATCTTCGAAATACATTATTTGTTAACAATAACCTTTAAAGGTCTTCACATTTTAGTTGTTTTAAAAAAATTGGTACTCCGGACAAAAGGATGAGTGAAAACTGATAAATAAGAAACAACAAGAATAGAAAAATAGGAGAAAAAATAAAACTAGGGGATTCTGGGATACTGGTAGATGTTCGTTTGTAATTCAAGGTTGAAATGCATTTCTTTTAAAATGAACTAGAAAGGAATCACATAACAAAATATAAACAAATAAGGTGGGACAGTTTCTGACACTAAAAATGCTTGACACTGCAGCATATTCCAAAATATGAAGGAAAACAAGGCCTCTGAAATAAACGGCATAAAGGAAATAAATGATGTTGTTAATAAATTCATCATTAAAAATTCATAGCAATTCATTTATCGCTGAATTGAAGTGTTTACTTTTTTGAATTGTTGAAAAAAACAGAAAACACGTAAATTCTTACATAAAAACAAGATAAAACAACGTCATTCTTTGTTACATGAAAGCACAGCTTATACCATCCTGGACGTATTGTCTGATGTGAAGGGTCCCATGTTTTTCTTTTGCCGACGCCGCCTGTTATTTTTGGGGCATTTCCTAGAAAATGACAAGAAACCTAGGGTGAGTTTCCCGAGGGTTTCATAAGTTCTGTGTTAAAAGATAGAATTTGCGAATAATGTAGCGTTAAGAAGGCTTTAGGAAACTCACCCCTAATCATTCATTCAAATTTTATTGCAATTTTTATGACTCATCTCTACGGACAATGAACCTCTGACAAACCTCTGACTTGCTCAGTAGAATTTATTAGAAGGGAAAAATATACCATTTTCCTTATTACAGACATAAATCATCTACTCCACATCTGTTCATATGTAGAAATTCCTTAAATTTTAACATGAATGATAATTGTCTTTTTGTTAAATTATTTCTTAGCAATAATATAATCATTTTTTCAATATGAACAGTATTATCTGAATGTGTAGCGGAAAAACAGTTTAAATCATATATATAAACATGTTTATTCACAGGCAAACCTGATACACATTGCCAAGACATAGCTTGCAGGAACTTACCTGGTGATGCAAGTCACTATGGCAACGATGACAACAATCTGCACGGCCCCAACGATGGCAGCAATGAGGACATATTGAAACTTCTGGCCACTGGGGACCACATAGAGGATGCTGAAATCCTTGGCCTCATCGCACTGTAGACCCTTGTACCCTGAATCACACCTGTAGGTTCAAAGAAAGACATTTAACATGCAGTTCAAAGCTACATCTGTGTTTTCTCAATTTAATTTTGCTTCTGAAAAGTGCAAAACGACACCCATGCCTTAAACCTTAGTTCTGTTCTGAGGAAGTGAAATGCTTATTTACTTTAGCATGATGTGATCATCAAGAGCAGTGTGTAATTCAGCAGGTTGGGGATTCTTGTCTGTGTCCAGAAGGTTGTGGGTTCAACTCTCATGGCTTACAGACTAATTTTTTCATCCCTTGAGACATGCCAACTGCTCCAACTCAGAGATCCCAAGTTTTTCTCACTTATATGTCACTTTTAGTAAAAGCATCTGCTAAATAAATTTAAATCTGTTCTCACTG